AAAATTGAATGAATTTTGTACTGAAAGAGCTTTTCTTTCCTGGATGATCATTCTCTCTATTCCTTCAAGTATATTTATCCTATGTTTGAAACTAGGATAATTTTATTGCTGATACAATACGTACCAATATCTCTGACAATTTATATGGAAAAAAACTAGAAAAGGACATGAGGTTTTTGAGGAATTGAATGAAATGTCATTGTGTCTGGAGGGCAGAGAAAAAGGGAGTGAGTTATAAGAGTTGCAGTTGGAGGTGTAGGCAGTGGCTGGATCCTATAATGTTTACAGGCCAAGTCGAGGATTTTTACTCCTATCCAAAGGGCATTGAGGAGCAATTTAAGGGATCTGAGCAGGGGAACAACATGATCAGATCTGTGGGTTAAAAAGGAATACGGTATTGCAGACAGGAAGATCAAGAGTAGACCAGTTAAGAGCGAAACTGGGAAGGATCAGTTAAAAGTCAAAGACAGAAATTGTGGTAGATTTGATCTTGGTTAGGGCCAGTGGAGATGAAAGAAAAAGCACATTTGAGAAATGTGTAGAAAAATTGAGATTTTGGTGGTAGATGAGTACTGTTGGGTGATGGAGAGATGGAGTCAAGGTTAACTCTTGAGCATCCAGATAGTTACGAAGTCACCAAGGTGGGGAACGCTGAAGGGAAGATCAGGTACTTGATTTTGGACATGTTGAGGTTGTCACATCCAAGAGGAGAAGCTTAGCAGGTGGCCAAATATGTATGCCCACAGCAAAGACAAGAAGCCCTATTTAGAGACAATGTTTTAGCAGCTGCAGATGTTTGGCTGTTATTGAAGCCATGGACGGAATGAGATTGCTTTGGGAGAGAACAGAGAGTGGACAAAGAAGAGGCCTAGGACCCAGACCTGAGGAATTTCAATAACTACTGGTCTGATGAGAAGGTTGGGTTGTCCATGGAGGTGGAGAAGGTATATTCAGAATGGTTAGGAGAAAAATTAGAGGAGGTGGAGTCATGGAAGCCAAGGAAAGAAGTGTTTTAGAAAGCCAAGAGTGGTCCATGATGTTGCTTTGCTGTGGAGAGATCTGAGAAGCAAAAGGTGGAAATCAAGTGTTTTTAGTATTTGCCAGCTCACGTGGCAGTCAGGTGCTTGCTGTTACTCTTAGATTTGGGTCCTTGTTTGTCTCTTGTGACATTGCTATTGGGAAATGCGGTCCACTCCATTCTTGTGTTGCCTGCCTTGCAGCCTCAACAGCAACACATGCCAGGGACTAACGTAACTGTGGGCAGGAGAATAACATAAACTATTGACAGTTAAATAACTATAGATTTATTCAGGTAACCTCAGATAAACATAAAGATGATTTAAAATAGGTTCTTCAGCCAGTCTGGGTATATTAATTCTCCTTTTATTTTTCTTTTTCCTGCATTTCTAGGAAGTTTATATTCTCTCTTTCTCTTGATTTCAAATTTATTACTTAAGCAGTTCACAAAGGTTATGTTTTTTTCTTTTAATTAGGACTTTCTTTTAACTTCATTGTAATAGAACATAAAGCAGAGAGTTGAACATCTGGGTTTTTATCTCACTTTTGTTCTCAATTAATCATCTACTCTTCGACAACGTCTTAGAGAAATTTTCACTGAGCTTATGGCGCCGGCCGATCCCAGTGGGTGCGTCCAGCAGATGGTCAGGTCATGGCGTCAGAAGCACAGACAGCTTTCCCTCCCTCAGTCACGGGCATTTTATAGTCAGTCTGGTGAAGGCGCAAGTCAGTGACCAACCAGAGTTAGCCCGGGGCCTGGAGGTGGAGTACGGGTGAACACCTGCCTGGGCTGCGGAATGCAGAGGAAGTTAACAGCTGGCAGGGGCATGTGGCACCCTTGACGGCCTGAGCTCTATCAGTGTGGTAAGCCATGTAGTCTCGAGAACATCAGGCAGCACCTGTGACTCAGCTTCCTTCCTTTCTACCACAGTCTAACTTACGGACCCTTTCTGCAAGGGAGGTGATCTGACAAGTCAAATCAATCCATGCTAAGGTGTTACTGGGCAGCCTCCTTAGTAACATCAGCTGCATTTTAACAGGGGTTTCCCAAACATAAAGAGATAACACGTGAGCGACTCTAATTGAAGGAATTTTGAGTATCTCTGAAGGGCCGTGGAGGAGAGAGGTGATGTTTCTTCTCACTATCTATCTGCATAGTCTCAAATGTATATATGATTTTTGAACTTTTGAATGTTAGGAAAACAGTGGAGGCTGATTTTTATCTCATCAGTTAATGTTCAATCTGTTATGTCTGTATATGATTTTGTTGTGTTTTTTTTTTTAGCAACTTACCAACCACATTCGAGATACCCTGCCAAACTTCAGGAACAAACTGCAGGGACAATTGCTCTCCATAGAACATGAAGTAGAAGCCTACAAAAACTTCAAACCAGAGGACCCCACCAGGAAGACCAAAGCATTGCTGCAGTACGTCACCTTTCCCTTCCTTTGTTCAGCATTTCTAATTTCTTCAGTTTTCCTTTGCATTAGTCTGTTTGTCATGCTGTTTTCTAGGTTTAACAGAAGCAGCAAGTAAAATATGTTTCACAGTCACCCTTGAATCTTCATGTTTTATTGAAGAATAATTATAGATCTTATTCTGTAATTATAACTTTAACAATTCCTGTGCCCATTCCTGTGCCCAATTTAATTGTGTTTTTAAAATTGGCTTCGGTGAGTAAAACTAGTAGTGAAAACTCAGCAGAATTTTTTGTCCTTAGTCTTCAAAATGGGTAAATACAGATGAAAATGTCATTTGTATTAGTATTTTTCAGCTGTTTCTATTGATGTCAGTTGTGCTTATTAACTTTTTATTTCAATTATTTTATGTCATTTATCTGTGTGCATTTTTCAGTGGAATGAAAAACAAGGTACAGACAATAAGGCCATATTTAAATTTCTTTTTCGTTTTTTCGTAATGATTTTAATGCAGGCCTTTAAAAATGCAAATGTGGGAATCACCAAACATCTTTTCCCTCCTTTGTCATCTTCCCATCTTATCCACAGGTTACTACCGTTATCCCGAAGGGACATGGGGTAGGATGCAGAGTTGCCAGAGGATGGCCAGCTTGTTGTATCTTACATCTTTATTCTCTCCCTCAGCCCCTCCAGCTCCGTCTGTCCCTTCATCACTGTGCTGCAACTTGTGTCAGGTCCCTCCCAACCGGAAGACTCCCCTGCCCGGCTTGCTCATTCCAGGACACCTGCGCTCTACTAATGCTTAAGCCGAATCTTGAGGACAGATAAAAATAGCCAGGCAAAGCAGCAAGGGACAGAGAGAATGGTGTCCTGAGCAGAAGGAAAAACAAGTGTCAAGGCACAGGGGTAGGGGACATTTTGGGAAGTGCAAATGGCTTCCATATGGTTGGCTCGGAAGGCGCGTGGGATGAGTGGTGAGTGACGGGCGGAAGAGACAGCAGGGCCAGACCATAAAGAATCCTGGGAGATGGGTTAAGGAGGATGATTTTATTATCAAATTGTGAGGAGCTATTGAAAAACAAGGCCAGAGCTAGTGGTCAGAGGGCATGGAATCACAAATCTCTGTCGTTCTGGCAGGGTGAGGTCTGAGCTTGATGGGGAGAAACCCCACAGCAGGGTGGTCATCTAGAGGTGGCTTCGGTGATCCCAGGAGGCATTGCTCAGGGCTGACCAAGGCAGCGGGGGGGCGGGGGTGGGGAGAAGAGAAAGAGGTCAGTGGTCCGAGGGATGTTAAGAGGGGGAATGACCAACAACTGGGGTCGGGGAAAGGGAGGTGTGCAGGGTGCCCCAGACTCCCTGCCTTGGGTGGGTGGTGCCAGCCCCCATGAGGGGAAATTCAGAAATGCAGGAGAATCAGCAGTTTGGGAGGGAGAGAAGCTGAGAGGTTCAGTTTTGGGTGTGTTGAGTTCAAGGCAGCTAAGAGGAGATGAATGTGAGGTAGACAATGGGGCATATGGGCTACTCTCTCAATATAAAAACCAGTCTCTTTATAATCCTTGAAGGTATGGCACCCTGGAGATCACCTAGGATGAGTGTATAGGATGGGAGGAGAGACTGAGGCTGTGATATCGTGGGGAGGAAGAGTAGCTCACGGAGTATGGGGGTGCTTACCTGGAGCACCTGGAACTAGGCGATGGTGATGTCATGGGAGCTGAGATTTATTTGACTATTCTGCATAGAATTTTATGGCTTAACTTTAATTTTCGATTTAAGTATTCTTTAAATACCATTTCATGGTTGCAACCACATGAACAGAATGCAGTTAAAGACAAGTATTTTAAAAATATTTACTCTAATTAAATGCCTAAAATAAATCTTAACAATGTGTATTTCACGTAATCACATTCTGAGTGCCGAATAGAGCGTATTGTTCTTCCTGCCAGTAGGTGCCACTAAGAACTCCAGGAAAACGACACTCAAGAATAGCCGTATTAAAGTACAATGAGGAGTGTAAAGGCTTGTAACTTTAGCTTGAATTTATGCCTCTCTCACAATTACAGGATGGTTCAGCAATTTGCTGTGGACTTTGAGAAGAGAATTGAGGGGTCGGGGGATCAAGTGGACACCCTGGAACTCTCAGGTGGTGCTAAAATCAATCGCATTTTCCATGAACGCTTTCCCTTTGAGATAGTAAAGGTTTGTACCAAATGTTTTTTCTTCTTTTGTTCCACTCATTTCCATATTCTGTTTTTACAAAACTCTTGATAAAATACTATGTGAGTGGTATGGGACTAAGATACTTCTTTGAACAGAAACCTCCACACTCAGGTAGTGAAATTCAGGAGAGAAATATTACTGATGATTCTGGTTGTATTTAATGGGATTTAACTACATTTCATGTTATTTTAAGAAATGCTAATTGAGTTTCCTATGGTGTTTATTTGTTATCTAATTAATTTAAAAATATTTCTTCAGCACCTTCTATGCACCAAAGTGATCAAAACAGAGAAGGTCTTTGCTTATCTAGTGGGGAAAGGCAGAAAATTAATAGACAAAATGAGAAAATATCCTGTGCTTTTATGGTAACAGGAGGTGAGAGACACAGGCTGGTTGAGCCACTTTTAAAGGGGTTCTTGGAAAGGTTCTGTCTGAATAGGGGACATCTAAACCGTGCCCAGAATGGCATGAAGAGGTCAGGTGTGTAATAATCTGCGGGAGGAAGGGATCCTGATGAGGAAGGTCATTCAAGACAAGCAGCAACCTTGGGCAAAGCCCTCAAGCACGAAGGAGTTTGGCAGGTGAAGAACTGATGTGGCTGATGGAGGGAGGGGAGGGGTATGCAGTGAATTCTGGCAGGATGAGGTCTGACCTTGATGGGGAAAAACCCCAAAACACGGGTATGTGATGAATTCGGAGAGGAAAGAAGCATCCGGTTCATGCAGGGCTTGCTAGGTTGAGGTCAGATGTTTACGATTAACAATGGGAAGTTACAGGAGGGTTTCAACCAAAGGTGTGACTCGATTTGGTTGATTATTTTAAAAGAACATTATGTGGGCTGGATTGTAAAAGGACAAAGGACAAGTAAGGCAGGAACACAGTAGGGCCAGACCCTGGTGGATTCATTTTCTGTAGGACCTGAAGCTTCTACAGTTTTGAAGGCAAGAGGAACATAAACTTATAAACACATGATTAGGCACAGAGTCTTGGAAGAGGCTAGTGCAAGGGAGCAATCCTTAAAATTTGTAAAAATGCCCTGGTAAGAGAGGGTGGAGAGAAATGGATGGCATTGGAATTTCGGAGGTAAGTTTGGTAGGGCTTGGATTGATATGGGGAATGGAAGAAGGAAGATTCAAGATGGCTCCCGAGGCTTTGGCTTTCACAGCTGCATGAATGGTGGTGCCCATCCGATGAGGGAAACGGTAGCAAAGCTGTGTTTGTGTGGAGCTGTGAAGCAAGAGTTCTGTTTCGGACCTGCTCAGTGTAAAATGCCCAATAGGCAGTTAAGTAGTTTTGCGGACTGTGCTACTTGCCTTGCATACAAAGAGGTGGGTGCTTATGTCTTGGTGTGGGAGGCAGATGAGTAAATAGATAGTTTCATTAAGATGTGCTAAGTAAAGTGATAAACTTCAGCACAGGGTGCTATGGAAACACAGCCCACAGACTTAAATCCCAGCCCAAATGTGTAAGGGAGCCAGACTTCCAAGCCGAGTTGGGAAGGTTGAGCAGCTTGTTAAGCAGGAAGAGGTAAGGGTAGGAGAAGGGGATGTTCCAGATAAAAAGGGAGGAATAATACAAACTCTGAGCTGTGAGGCCACGGGGTGTGGATAGATACCTAAAGCAATTCATCGTCCTACGGCATAAAGTGAGGAGGAGAATGGACAGATAGTGAGGCTGCAGAGGCCAAGTCTCACAAGTCAGGGGCTGAACCCAGTGTTCCCTGGATATCCCTTCCAGGGCTAAGCTCTGTGACACTTTGATCCTACTTCCAAGCAGATTTATGGTTCTTAGGACTTCTGGGAAATATTTGTACAGCAATCTATCCTGTGTTGGCTTGGTGAAATATTAATTTTCTTTTATAAAGAGGCCTTGTGCTCAGGTGGTTAAAATGGCCGGGGACAAAAGGCAGCCATTGTTAGTTTCGGGACAGCTGTGCTGCTGTTGCGCATCAGGTGACACCCTCATTTATATACTGGCCTGTGCCCTCGAATTTACTGTATTCAGCCTAAGAATGAAGCATTATATATTTCAAATGAATGGCTAGATTTATGTCCAGAAGGCATGCTTTATGCATAGCACTCTGTATCTATACTAGGGTTAAAATCCGCTGCACTAAAACTCCCAGAAATCCCTAGTGTTCTATGTTGCCTTGAACTTTTTATATAAACAGATGTTTTGGCCATCTGGGTTTAGGTTAGGAAAGACATGAGTATCCATTTATTAATAACTAAGTCAAGTTATTCTTGTTCTGTATATTCAACAATATTATTATTCAGAGGAATTAAGTGTCATAACCACGGCTCATTTTGCATCTGCAGATGGAGTTCAATGAGAAAGAATTGCGAAGAGAAATAAGCTATGCAATCAAAAACATACATGGTATCAGGCAAGTGATTCGCATTTTTCTTGTCTTCAGTTCAAGCTACCATAAGAAAATTAATGTTTATGAATAGCTAGTAGAGTAGGCTTTTCATCACTGAACAGAATACAGAGGTGGGAGGAAGAAATAGGAAATCCTAGTTTTGCATTTCATGATAACTTCCTGCATTGTTGTAGTCAGTTTTTTCCAATTAAAAAAAGCAAAAACGCTCTCTGCACTCACAGCCCACACTGTGTACAATAGGGGATTCACAGATGAGCCTTTGGCTCTGTTTTCCAGAGATTTCAGTTTTAGGGAGGGAGACCCGATGTGCTCATAAATAATCATTGCTCACACAGAGAAAGGACAGATTAATTTTGACTGGAGTTGTGGAGCAAGACTGGGAAAGATTAATGAAGGTGCTTACTTTTGAGTTCAACCTTGCCTGTGGAGAGAATGATTTCAACAGGCCGACGTGTGTTGTGTGTGTGCGTGTGCTTGTGTGTGTGGACATGTATATGTCGGTTCAGGCTGCTATAACAAATTACCACAGACTGGGTGGCTTATAAACAACAGAAATTTGTTTCTCACGGTTCTGGAGGCCGGAAGTCTGAGTCAGGGTGCCAGCATGGTGAGGTTCTGGTTAGAGCCCTCTTCCAGGTTGCAGACTGCCAACTTCTCGTGGTACCCTCATGTGGCAGAAAGGGAGCTAGGTCTCAGACCTCTTCTTATAAGGGCACTAATGCCATTCATGAGGATTCCATCCTAGTGACCTAATTACCTCTTGAAGTCTCCACTTCCCTAATACCATCACATTGAGAGGTAGGGTTTCAACATATGAATTTTAGAGGGAACATAAAGATTCAGTTCATAATACTTTCTTTGAAGAGTTATGATAAGAAACGTGTTTTAAAATAATTTTTCTTGAGTTCATATAGAGGCTAAACATAATTTAATGAGCATATATTAACTTGAAGCATCCTGAATTAAGTTAATAAAACTTAGGTTGCCTAGTTCATGCATTACATCATAGAAAGGAGATGTCCCTGTCTGTTGTCAGTTGTGGCTTGGCATTTGCCAAAGGGCCAGTTGAGGTATTTTGGAAAAAGCCCTGTAAGCCTCGAATATTACCAGTATGGGTAAATATGAATTTGTAAAGCGAAAAGGAGAAAACATCTATAACTAAATCTAATGTTTTTCTTTTACTATCAATAAGGTTTCTAAGTTCCATATTTTATTTCTCCTCCATCAAATCCAGAATATATTTGATGTAAAAACTATCTTGCCACTTTAGCTGATCTAGTATATGAACAGATCTAGTATATGAACATGTTCACCTGATAAATGCAGTGGAACCAAATTGCATTTTTTTTGTGTCATGAAGTATTTTAACTCAATCAAATATGGTGCTTTTACTTGGCTTATAAAACTCCTTACCAGATACATTCTTGTTGATTATAAAATCTCAGTAATTCAGAATTATAGATTTCTGATTTATATGCATACCAACAGAAGAGATTGGTTGCTATTATTCTAGGGTAAATTTTCTGTAATGTGGTGAGAAAGACATAAAGTCCTGACTATAGGACATACTGATGGTGTGATTATTTAGGCCATTAAATATAATTAATTTGAAAAATTTTTTCCCCATTTGATTCCATTATATATCTGAGTAGTAGAAACCATCTTTGCATGAAGAGCCTGATGGAAGAGATGTTTTATTTTTATTCCTTGTTTTGCTAACACTGAGAGCCAATCATGAGCAAGGGATCGAGGCAGTCCTTGTGGGGATAAATAGAGTCACAACTCTCCCTACTAGGACAGTAATGGGACTAAAATATGTGCCTGGATGACTGCAGTGTGAAATAAATGTTGAGGTTCAGAGAAGGAAGACCTCCTCAAGGGCAAGGCTAGAGGAGTGTGGGGAAGTGGTTGATTTGGATCTGGGTTTTGAAACACTGGTGGGGTTTGGACAGGCCGAACTTGTGGAAAGGATGGAATGAATATTACAGGCAAAGGCAAAGACATAAAGTGTTAGTATGAATAAAGGCGATTGACTGAAACAGAGTGCATGCAAGGAGAGGGAGGAAAAGAACTACAAAGAAGACTAGAATCAGACAGTTGAAAATTTTTGATATTAGACTAAATGATTTGGATTTTATTCGGTACCCAATGTGGGGAAATTATAATGATAATGTATGATTATGATGGACAGCTGTAATCACACTACATTAGAATAGAAGTAGAGGTGAGCACAGCATACTAAGTAAATGAGAAAGGATGTTGAGTCAAGCTGGTATAAGGGAAGTAAGCGTTAAAGACATTTCCTCAAAGAGGTACTGCAGCACTGAGTGTTGAAGGAAGAGAAGTTAATCAGACAAGGAGAGGTGAGAAGGGAGGGGAAAAGCACCTAGAAGTGGGGAGGGCCCAGTGCCGAAGCCTGGACCCATAAGGCTTTAGTCGTGGCCATGCTCTGAATTCGTGGCCATGCTTTTCTCTATCCATCTTTTGTTTAAATTTGAGTAATCATTTTTCACTTTTTATGAAACACACACACCCACGTATATATTGGCTTCCCTGAGCTCCTGCTCAGCATAAGAAAAACATTATGATGATACAAATTTGAGTTAATTCCAGCCAGAAGGAAGATACTTTTTATTTTGGTAATAATTTATAGTTTTTGTAAATTCATAATCTAGGCATCTTGAAATATCGAAATTAATTCTTGGCTCCTCTTAGCATCTTCTTCCTCTAACAGCCCAGGACCTCGGGCTGGGAACCACCAAGCTCACTGTAATATAGCTCTGCAGAAAGAATAAATCATATAGTCCAGAAACTCCACTATTTCAGTGTACAAAAGTGAGGCTCACTTGCTACTCCACAAAGGGCAAGAGAGGACTGCTTTTGGAATCTTTTAGGTATTTAAATTTGGGACACAATAGAAATAGTGTAGCATTTCTTTTTATTGCTATGAAACAGTGAAATAAGACAAATTACAGTTAAATATTCATTAAAAGTCATGTTGTATGCCATGTAAACATTTTGGGCGCTGTTTTTAGCTAGTGTTAATCTATAGATTGGGACTTATGGTTTAGCAGTAATAACGATATTATAATGGTGCTATGGGTAGAACAAATCACTCTGTGACTTTTAAACTTGGTCTATTGTATGCTTAAGTGGAATGTTAATTTAAACATTTTTCAAAAGATCATTAAATATTACTCAATTTTTAACAATCTCATGTGCTGTTTTCTTACATTCAGGACGGGGTTGTTTACTCCAGACATGGCGTTTGAAGCAATAGTCAAGAAACAGATTGTAAAGCTGAAAGGGCCTTCCTTGAAGAGTGTAGATTTGGTAATACAAGAATTAATCAACACCGTCAAGAAGTGTACCAAAAAAGTAAGTTTGAAATGATTTACCTTTCCAGTAAGTGACTGTTAATGTTTGGTTTATCCATCTTTCCTGTCTCGTTGTGTGGTTCTCTTTCCCTGACAGCACCCCCCTACCTCGCTTCGTTATAAATGTTGTGTGTTTGCCCAAGGGGAAGGATGGTGGAAAGTACTGAGTGGGGATTGCTTTCGTGATGGGCAGACATACTGTCTTCTATCATTCCAAATAGGGTTGCTTAGACCAGACAGAGTATATCTTAATCAGCTATATTTTTTCTTATAGTGTTAAACAGATAAACATGACTAGGTAAATGTACCGAACTCATTTTTGCTATGGTGCATGGATGGGGGTAATTGTTAGGAGAAGGCACTCGTTGATATTGTGTGTATCGGGAAGAAAATTCTTCTAAATTATAAATGAATTCCACTTGAGCCTGGGCGTTCTGAGAAGAGGCAGTGTAGTATAGTAGTTAAGAGCCCAGCCTCTGAGTTCCAGTTACCTTAGAGCCACATTCAAATCCTGGCTCTGATACTTACTTTCTGTGTGACTGTAGGCATCATACTTAATCCCTCTAGTTTTGTTAACTTATCTCTGAAATGGGGAAGATGATGATAATAATACCACCACCCTGGTGAGGATTAAACAAACTGACGCCTGATGCCATGGGGCACCTAACACACTGGTTAACCACAGAAAGCGCTCAGTAAACGGTGGCTGGTCTGTAAATTACCACTCTAGTAGCAACCAGCATTTGCTACCCTGAGTATCTATCGAATCTCTGCTGTAGAGTGATGGGGACAGACTTCCCAGTTGGGGGACAGCTCACTGAGGAATACGAAGGATGTGTGCTGAATTCCTTGGAACATGAGAGGGGTACCTTGCAGTAGAAAATGTGAGAGAATTGGTGATGGTGCCTAGGGCAGGGTAGGCTTCCCCATGACAGTTAACACTGGTATTTTGAGTGTTTCTTCAAAGTATAGATACTTCTGTTTTTGTTATTTTTGTTACCTTTCCTTTTATATATGGATACTAGGAGAGTAACCTTTGTGGAAAAACCAGTGGCAAGAAAGAGAAAGAATGAGAGAGACAGAGAATGAATATGAATATTGGTCCCCAGTTACCTGGCAGAAAACTCAGGTGAAGAAAAGATGCACATAGAGAAGCGAGCAGGCTGAGTTGCTAGATGTGAATGTAAAAGGAAAGGAGGAAGTGGAACTAGTTTGGGAACCAGAAGTAACTCTGGAGGTTCAGACTCCTGCTCTAGAGCTCTTGCTATTCTTCCACCTTGTTCCCTAAACTCCTGGTCTCTCTTCTCCAAAACACAAAAAGCCACAAGAGTTAAGGATGGAAGGACAGGGAAAAGAATGCACATGAGGAAGAAAAAAATCGATCTTTATATCAGTTCTCCATTTGAAAACTTGAAGCCAGTTAATAATACTTCACATTCCTGCTGTCCTTGTCTACTCTTCAAAATGCAACCTATCTTGTCACCTGTACATTTAAAGCTCTCTTAATTGATCTCTTATCTGACTGACAGGATTAACCGATACTGCATTTCCCAATTAACCATAAGGATTGCCACCCTCAGCCAGAAGGCTTCTCTTTAGGTTGTCCATGTTCTCTTGCTCCTGCCAATTAACCTGCCTTCTTTTTACAAAGATTAGTTGTGTTTGTCCTCAAACCTGTTTATCCAGTGTATTTCTTATTTTAATTATATCCTTTAAATGAAGAGTAAATCAGCTGATCAAATGCAGAAAGACTTTGAGTTTTATTTCTGTGAAAACTAAGCTGAATGCTTTGAAAAGATGTGATACATGTTAGCTACAAAAGCTTCGCTATTGCCTAGGTGTAGGCAGTATAACGGTAAAAAAAAATGTGTGTTTGGAAAGGGGGTTTACAAAAATCTAGCTAGGTTCCACACTGATGATTTCACAAGTGTCTTCAGGTTCTCCCTCCACTTTAAAGAAAGCAAAACTGGAAACGGTAGATGATGAAGGATGTGGTTTATGTAGGACGGAAGATGCATGACTGCAATCAGCAGATCCATATGCACAGAGCAGGCCTTGGCCTTACATCAAAAGATTGGCACATGTGTGTACATTTATGTTTTAAGTTATATAAAGTGTTTATGGTATGTATGAATCATTTTTTTTTTTTTTATCATTTCCCATTTTATCCGACTTACTGGAAAACCAACAGTCAGTTCCGATGGCATGGGATGAGACAGCTTGTTCCCAGACACTTTTTGGCTTCTATCCTTGTTCTCTATCCTTTGAACCTCCCTTTCCATGATGCTCCCTGGATCAGTCTCCTATATGTGCATATTTTTACTGTCTTCTCTAAACAGTCTATAGTTTGCCTTAAATAAAATAAATAAAATCAAACCTAGCCTTCTCCCTGAGGTTACTGTTTACCCCGTAGCTTTCTTCAGTGAAGGATATTTATTGCCCCAAACCAGAAAAATCTAAGGGCCTCGATCGGGAATGACATTTGCCTACTTCTCCTTGAACACTATTCCTTCACCTTCCTGTAAAAATCTTCCGTGAAGGCCAAGGTGGTACCAGCTCCGCCACGCCCTTCCTTGTATCTGCCACTCCCATCAGGTCCCCGGTCACTCGCTTACATTCATCAGGGCCTTTAGGACCCAGCTCACAGTTTTCCTCCCTCTCCCAAATTCCCTCTCAATTTGGAAGACTTCAGTGTCCGCGCAGAGAGCAGGTCCAACACCCGGCAGCTACCGGCGTTTGAGATCTTGGGCTCCAGCGGCTCTCCGGTCAGTCCATGCCGGCATCACGCTTCCGTGACCTCTTCTGGCCCTCGTCATCATCAACAAATGTTCTACCAAGAAATTGTGAACTCTAAATCTAGGGTTTGCGGAATGCTGATCACCGCCCCCTACCCTCTTTGGATTTTAAGCCAATTGGCAAATTAATAGAAGAGCTCTAGTTTGAAAGTTTGAAATTTAGTGTCCACTTTACCGCTGGTGGATCTAGACTGGGACATGTGGCTGGGACTCGCCGCTAAACCTCAGAGCCCCACGGAGGATGGGTGGAGCAGATGCGCATCCGCCTTTAGCTTTCTGATCTGCTACTTCGAGTCTGCTTGGATTAACTTTGCCACCCGAGGAAACTCCAAGGCTGATAAAATTTACCATTTGTCTTCATTTCCCTTTCTCCCAGGTTCCTGAAGAGCTTGGAGATAATCGTCCATTTGTGTGAATTGGTGCCACAATATGTTCAGTCTCCTACCTATAGCCTCATCTTCAGTGCCGCACAGTCACGCTGCGGCGTATTATCCATTGGTGACTTCCTGTGTTCTCCACGACAGTGACGTTACACTTCTAACAGTCTCTTCCAGGCACACTCATCACTTTCATCCTCACGTTCAGTGATGGTTTCGCAGAGGAAATAAGGCCCATAAACGAGAACATCGATTTCTTGTCTTCTAAGCCCTGAATGTACCTGCATTCACGGCCGCACTCCCTCCTTCCCTCCGTCTCTGGTGAGGGGGTACCCTGACCAAAGCGGGCTTCCTTTCTGTTCTCTCACCTCCCCAGGGAAAATATTCTTTTATTTCCTGAATCATCACCTTCTCCGTCACATTAAAAAAAAATCAATATATAAATATATTTACATCTGTCATGATTTAAAAAGAAGCAGTGACAAAGACCTATCTACTGCCCTATTTCTTTCCTCTTCAGGGCCAGACTTCTTGGGAAAACAGTAAATTATGCTTCGTTATCTTTACTGTCTCATCTCCAGCAAACTTCTCAGCAGAAATCTGGCTTCCGCCCCACTGCTCTATGGAAATGATTATGGCCAAGGCCAGCCAGAGTCCTGATTGCCAAGTCTAATGGACACTCTTATCTCTGATGCTATGTTCTGCCCTCTTTTTGAAGCTGACACTCCTCTCTCAGGGTTTCTCTTCCATCCTTCTCTTGATTTCCTCCTCCACTTCCTTCAAGCGTGTCTGCCTTTGCCTGCCTCTCCACACTGGAATCCTCCGGCGCTTGCTCCTGCTTTTCTTCCTGTCTCATTATGTTTTCTCCCTGGCAGATCACACCTTCTGTAGTTCAACTACCGCTCAAAATATTGGCGATTCCCAAATCTATACCTCCAGCTCAAGCCTCTTTGCAGTCTACAGACTACTGGTACTATTCTTCTCTTTCCTAAGGCCCTAAATGTTTATTTGATTTTATTTTTTTCATCTGGATCACTCTAGTAGCTTCCTAACTGATCTTTCTACCTCCAGTCTGGTCACCTCAAATTCATCTCACCCACTGCTATCAAAGTTGACCTTTCTAAAATACAGATCTATATTTTGCCTATATCCTTAAAATTATTCAGTGGCTCCTCAGAGCCTTGAGAATAAAGTTCAAATCATTTGGGTTGTATTTAGTTTTCCTGTCTGCTCTCTGAATACCTCTCCAGCTGCATCTGTGGTCCCACTGCTTGCTTCACCCATCCAAAGTGATTTGCCCTTTCCCCAAAGATTGTTCATGCCTTTGGCCTTCGCATGTCTGATTCCTGTTTTCTAGAACATCTCCCTTTCCCTCCTGGCTCTACTGGCCATCCCCTCTCGTTTTTCAGGTCCAGCTCAATCATCATCTTTTCCTTAATATCTTCCTGGAGGGCCTCTGTGAGTCCATTCTCATCTCTAACCTCACTCCTTTCCGAGTGCTTCGGTTGGTAGCCTATTCCCATCATAGCACTTAAGATTCTGCATCGTGATTTGTGTATGTGACTACCTCCTCTTGCCGAGTGTAAGCTCCTTTTATCCTCTTCTCCCTAGTACCTAATACAGCGACTGACCCCACGTAAGGGACATTCTATAAATACTAACACTTTAGAGGTTCTAAAGTTACCCTGAGGCCAAAGAAATATGTACTTGGTTTTAAAACAGTATTTTAGTCATTTCTTTTAAAATGATAAAATTTAGGCAGGTCTCCTGTCAAACATCTATCTTTTTCTTTACACTTCGTTTTGATGTTCTTGACTCTTGGCCTCGTT